TAATATTACTACTACTACTACTACTACTACTATTACTAATACTAATACTACTATTACTACTACTACTACTACTACTACTACTACTACTTCTACCGATCGAGGTTATCTTATTTTTTTCTAATTTTGAAGCCTTACGGAAAGATTCTTGAGAACCGCAGCCAATATTTCTCTTTTCCTTCCTCCCTTTTTACCCCTTTGATTTAAAGGAGTGACGGCCGCGGTCCTAGGAACTCTATGTGGAATCCTGCTCATCTATGGTGTTATAGTTTCTTTGTTGCTTTACTTATCAAGGTATGAGTTAATACAGTTCCTAACAATATAACCCGGGCATATAACAGGCCGGTTTGTAGTTAGCATGTATTACAAGTGACCCAAAACTATCGACAGATCTTTTACACATGGAGTAGTCCCACTTCCACCCGTGTTCCATAGAATGTACCGTCGTGACGGTGCAAACATGAATAACGATTACATGACATTCATGAGTACGTATCCGGTATTCTTTTGTAAGGGTTTAACATTATTGTGGTACAGACCTCCATCTGCCTCCCCTCCCCCCTAAAAAAAAAAAAAAAAAAAAAAAAAAAAGAGAAAGAAGAAAGGAAGAGGACATAGGAAGAAAAAGTATTAAGAGTCGAGAACGGTACATTCTCTAATAATTTAATGAAACGGCAAAGCTTCCGCGCTTCGTGCGGGAGGGAGGGGGGTGGAACTGAATTCAGATAAGGATTAAGAATCGAGAATGGTACAACGAATAGCCTGTTTTCTCTAATAATTTAATGAAACGTCAAAGCTTCCGCGCTTCGTGCGGGAGGGAAAAAACTGAATTCAGACAAGGATTGAGAGTCGAGAATGTTACAACGAATCGTCTCCTTTCTTTAATAATTTAATGAAACGTCAGAGCTTTCGGGCTACGCGCGGATGAAGGGTTCAAACAAGGATTTAGAGTCGAGACCGGTACAACGAATCGTCTTCTTTCTCTAACAATTTAATGAAACGTCAAAGCTTCCGCGCGAAACTCCCCCCTCCCTGCATCCACCCCCTAGGGAACTTGTTATTGGATCAATAGGAGCTCGCTCCTTGATAACATCTATGGAAATACGACAACGTGATGATAATTATGATTGTAGAAGTGCACTCTCCGTTATAGTCACAATTTCTATCAATAGAATCTTTGTATCCTTGTGTGACATTTCAGACGAGCTGGACGATCCTCGAGGAACTCTAAAGAACCCACTGTTGCTAAGCAGAAACCATACACCGGTCTTGATCGGACGAATCCCGAACGCCATTCCTATCAAGGCATATACCTGAGCCCAAACGGAGAAGGAGATCAATGCCCTAATTCCTTCCAAACTCATTCCTACCAAGAGATCGTAACTCCTTGCTCCTCCTACCGAAATGACGCAGTGGGGCAAGTGCGCGGACGACAGGCGGCGCAGGAAGCAAGAAGAAGTGCCCCCGACGATCCTGGTGACATGCACTACGTCATACCTGAACTCTAAACAAGTTATTATTTTGTCATAGGTACAGGGTTTTGAATATGATCGCAGTTTGATTGCAGGGTAGGTGTAGGTTAATGATTTGATTACAGTTTGGTATAGTGTTTGATACAAGGTTAAAGTTATGAATAAAGCTAGTGTATAGGCACACGACTGTGGAGTAATCGTCGCCGGAGTATTTGTCGTAGCACCAGGGTTTTAACTGTGTTTCATATGTAAAATGATTACAAATTCGTTTATTCATCAAATTAATTTTTATTTTTAGCTTATCACTAATAGCATACCAATATAGTGTGTTTATGCCCTATATTTTATGTTTTTCTCCAAAATGATTCCACATTTTCCTGAATAATAACAAATGTGTACGAGAACAATATCGATTTTTGCTATAAAAGGAAGATCGTCACGCATTTACCCCCGTCTGTCTTTATTGAAACATACATTTTATTCACATGTTCGGCAGTAGCTTCAATAAAGTGTATAATTCGTCGCTGTTTTCACGAAGTGACGGTAGTGAAAAAAATTGCATTCACTTTGCGTTACGATTTTCCTCACTACCGTCACTTCGTGAAAACAAGGACGAATTGTCATTGTCATCACTGACAAGGAGATATTTTAGGAGAGAAGAATAGAAGAATGGATCATTATGTCAACATGCAGATTTCTCTTATTTCGTGCCATTATCGTAGTTGTATATTACCATATTTCATATTTTCGGAGATGCATAAGTTTCCCAGTTTTTCAGTTTTGACTTAACTAAATCATGATTTGATATGAGCTGACGAATGTTTACCCAATTTAATTGGAAAATGTAATCACTCTGTATTATGTCTTCGAGTTTTTGTCGAATTCGATTATGTACGTAACAAAGCCAAAGATTGACCGTGACTAGTTTCTATGCTGTACTAAATTATGCAATATTATTCAACCATATAGCTGCGAAAATTATGTTATTATTTAATGAATCATTGGTTGAATAATAACCAGTACCCGACTTCCAGTAATTTTGTCGGCACTCACCCGATTTATGATATGGAGCTGGGTTAGTATTTCGTAATGTGGATGGCCAAGATGAAGATGGCACTGGTCACATGTATACGCTGGGGATTATTGCTGTTTTGTTTATAAAATATTATGATCATAAACATTTATGAAATTGTCTTTCATGTTAGACTGAGATTCAGATGAATCTATTTACTTTATTATAATAGTGCATGATATAAATAACGTAACAACAATATGCCATTGAATTGATTTAAGTTACTATTTAACTTTTCTAAAATACATGTCGATATAATTTTTCCAAAGATTAAAAAAAAAATGTATTTCTGTCATTCCTTTTCCCAGTCCTACTGTCATGACGTCAGCTACTAAAGTAGACCTCATGCCATTTTAAAGCTCATTCAAACAAGTCAGAGGTCAAATTGAACACAAAAATAAATCCAGACTGACATCTAAACTATTTCTTTCTGTCGACCATAATTGAAGAAAATTTTTTTAAAAACCTTGAGTAAGCAAATCCGACAAATTCTATAGATTTTAATCTGGATCACGTGCCCCAAATTACAAACAATAAGACACATGCACACACAAAGGCGAGCCAAAAGGAAACCAATCAACCAGGGACGGCGATTTCTTTCCATGACCGGGGGAGGGGGGGGGGGGGCGAAATGCGAGGGGGAATCTGTTTTCCTGGAATACAGATTTTCTACAATATTTACTTCTACGTTTTAAAGGATATTATGCGAGGAAGCGTAGCGACCGAGCGAGAAGATTTTTGCATTTGTATTAGTCTAAACGCTGCACTCTTGGACCCTCCAGAGCCTAAAAGTGTGTTGAAGTCTTTAGTCAGAATGCTATCCATTTGTTTGTGTGCATTTTTTCAAATTTTACGGGGGGAGGGGAAGATCCCCCCTAAATAAATTGAGGGGGACGTACTGTCCCCTCCCCCCCCCCGGGATCGCCGCCCCTGCAACCAACTATCAGGCAGGCACAATTAGCGATTATGAAGATTTTCTCACAGTTCCTATAAACACGCGCAAACTGGCTCAACCAGATACGAAGAAACCGTCAATGCCAACGTACCCGTTAATTTTGTGCCTAGTAGGCTAGTGTCCTACTCGTCCCATTCTAGTTATACAAATACAAAAAAAAAAAAAACTAATTCTAGCTTCCCGCAAGTGTTTTGATACTAATCAGAATTAATTTTCTATATATTACTGAATATTTTAATTCATATGAATAATTTGTAAGTTAACGTACTACTTATGCAAACGTTATTGTTCACATGTGTATTTTTAATCATTACGAAAATGAATGCATGGGGTATAAAATAATCACGTACGCAATATTACAAGTGTCTCGAACTCTCAGATTCAGTGATTTATTTGCATGTAAATAAATATCGTAGTTACATTGGTAGTAGGAAAGGTGTAAACAGTTTGTGAAGAGTGAAATTGGGTCATCTGAAGCCAGATAAACGAGAAGGCGAGAAAATGATTAAAAATTAAGTGAGGTTGCACAAATTGCATTTCAAATTTGAGAAAAGGAAGAGGGAAGGAGGAGGAGGAAGAAGAAGAGAGAAAGAGAGAGAGAGAGAGAGAGAGAGAGAGAGAGAGAGAGAGAGAGAGAGAGGGGGGGGGGGAAGGGGGGGGGGGAGCGGGGACGGGCTTTGGGGCGGGGGCAATAAAGGGCAGGATGGTGTTTTGTAGTGTTCCGGGCGGATAATTACTAACGACTCGGGCTGAATCACTACAGGTTCTTGAATTGAGAAAAATAAAAAAAGAGCAGAAAACGGTTTAGGAAATATCCATACTTCTCATTTTGTGAGCACACTTTGTTTACTTTCCCGCCGGGGTGGAGAAAAAAGTGCTACTAAGAAGGGAAAAAAAATCGACCACTTTTCTCCCCAAGTTGTCATGAATAATCTATTCGTTCGGGCGTATAAAAAAGTCCCATTTGCCCTATATTGAAAGGAAAAAAGAGCAATGAAATTATAGTTTTATACCTGCAGGCCTGTAAAAGGGCATTTGCAAGGCCTCAGTTATGAAAGTAAACGAAACGTAAATTATATTTAGTGGGCATATTTTTCAATGAAGGGGAAACTATATGGGCACATCACAAGAACAACTGCACCTCAAAAGGGTATTAAATTCATCGACAAGGTACAGTTTTTTTTTTGCCGGAGGGCACTTGTCTTGAATTCTATGGGGTCGTGAGGATGAGCAGGGCCACATGGGAACTCTACTGCGGTTTCGCTGCCGCTGTCACTTGCAGTAAAGTCAGACTATTGTACGGAAGCCATCTATAAGTGCAACCATGTGAATTACAAATTAAGAGGAATCAATTGGCGGCCACCAGATATAATTCCTCTTAAATTTTAATTCACATACGGGCTTGCGTATTAGAGTCTATTATTTCACCGCTCCCCCACCCCCTTCATTTCATTACATTTCTTAAAATATATTTTCCTTTTTTGTTCGCGCATCAAAGCTACCTCACATATCAAATTTCAGCATTGTCACGTACGTTTACAAAGTCTGGCAAATTTCCCCGTTATTTTCTATAATTTTGCTTATCATAGACGTCTTATAATTAATTAATCATGTCGGGTGCATTATTTGGAAGTTCAGCTACCGGAGGTCGTCCATCCAGCAAAAATTTGGTGGAATTTCGAGCTGGAAAAATGGAACTGAAAGGAACGACTGTGACTTCCGACAAGAGAAAAGGCCTTGTCTACCTTCACCAGCCCGATGATACGCTCATGCATTTCTGCTGGAAAGACCGCACATCTGGCACAGTAGTTGATGTAAGTTTTCCAGCGCTAGTGTACTTTCGTATCCATTTTTTTACCAGTAACTTCGGTGTGGAAATACCCTACTAAAACACACCCAAAATCAAGTAAATCTTCATCAATTGATGGTCATGAATGATTTAAAAGTTGTTATGTTTCTTACCTGTTTCGTGTCAATTTTCTTATCTAGATTCTAGATCTAGACCTTTTCTAGGTCTAGACTAGAATATTTTGGGCGCTTGTTCAGAAGCCTATCCAAAATTTGACCCGCAACTCCGGCGTGGAGATACCCTACTAAAACATACCCCAAAATGAAGTAAATATTCATTAAATGTCCAAATAAAGATCATGAGTTAAAAGTCGTTATGTTTATTACCTGTTTCGTGTCAATTTTCTTGTTATTTTTGGAGTATTTTTCGGTAACATTGATATTAGTTATTACTGTATGAAGGGGTGACCAAAGTTCGCAGACATTTTAGAACACATTACAAAATGTGATATTCGATCTATGATTTCTCATATTCTACACAAATTTATTTATTTCAATTATTACCAAATGGACGGCAAAGTTTTTTTGCTACAGATTGGTTCAACTAAAAATAATTATCGTGGAAGGATTTCGGAGATATCGCGATCTAAAAATTTGATGTCCAATAGTGCGTTTGCGCTGAACCTAAAAAAGTCATAAAAACAACGAGACCTAACTTAATGCACGGGGGCGTACAGTTGATTTATCAAAAAATGTGATGCATCAAAAATAAGGTAATATCATAATTTGCAAGGCAAGACATCATACAATCAGTTAATTGGTACCACTTTTTACTTACAATTTTGAGGAAATCTGCTCTCAAATTGGAAGATTTTCAGACCCCTTATCAGTAAATTGATAATTTTTTGGGACGGACACAAAATGTTGCAAAATTTGCCAATCTTTTGTCAATATTTTCACAATTTCGTCGTACACAATTCCAAAGAGAATTTCAAATCTGGGTAATTTTATGTTCCTCTTTCCATTGGTGATATCAGATTTTCGAAATCTTACTGATTTTTTGAGATAGCGAACTTAGGTCATGCGCGAACTTTGGTCACACCACCATATCAGTTCGGGAAATGTATGATTTCTTCAACGTTGCAGAAATCGTACATTTCCCATACTGATATACACCCCTCTACACCTTTTCACAGGTTTCACGGCAAGCCACTGCACAATACAAGTGCATACCGATGGTGGGTTGTGGGCGGGCGCGCGCGCCTGTGTGCAATTATCTACAGTAATGAGGAACTGAGACATTACGGATTAGTGGAGTCAGTGGACTCTTCTTTCTTCTCGTACTATGTACAAAGCACTACATTTTACATGACAAAAACACTGGCTTCTGACAAGAGTTTGCATTATTGGTTTTGCTGGAAAGGCATACAATTTACATTAGATAGGTCTAACATGATTGTCAAAAAAAAAAAATTAAAAATCAGTATGATACATAGTACATGTATAGCTCACCCTTTAAAATCATGATTCGACAATAAAGTCTAGAATTTCTCTACACGTGGCATGTTTTGCGTGAATTGGGGGTTCTTTGTTGAAAAGGGGTTCATTTTAGTTCTTGAAGAGATGATTATTCCTGCAAGTGATAGAGCCATTCATTTATTCATTCAGAGTCTCACAGTGATTGCTATATTTATTTTTGCAGGATCTGATCATATTCCCAGATGACTGCGAATTCAAGCGTGTCCCACAATGCACGACAGGAAGGGTGTACATACTGAAGTTCAAGTCTTCTGCTCGCAAGTTCTTCTTTTGGATGCAGGTAAGCATACCAATAAACTAATACAGGACATAAGAGAGGTGTCGTGGTCGAGTGGATACGTCGCCGGACTGTCGATCGCAAGGTCCGCAGTTAGAGTCCCGCCGCGGCACTAATGTCCTTTGGCAAAACATTGATCTACATTTGCCACACTCAACCCAGGTGATGTAAATGGGTACCTGGCCGGAATTAATTCCTTGAAATGCTGGAGCGCTGTATAAACGGCTGCTAGGCTAAAGCCGGGGTAATAATAAATGTCCCTCGGAATCAAATTATCTAGATAGATGGCGCTATAGAAATGCCTATTATTGTTATTCACCTTGGCAATGTCATTGTAAACTAGCTAATTTGTCATGTAGACAAGGGCCATATTATATCCAAAGTTTTGTACTATGATAATATAAATTGTATATCTTGCACTGTTTTTTAGTTTACTTCTTTTTTAAATAATTTGTTGTACATGTACATGTTTTATTGAAACAGAATAAAATAAAATCCAATATATTTACAAGTAATTATATACCTGTAAGATTACAAGAAAGTATTACAACGTAGATCAAAACCTCACGAAAAGTAGATTACACTTTTAAAGATGCAGGCAATTACATGCACATGTACCTGTACAACATTATAAAACAAACTTCCAGTTTTTAAGTTTACTTCTTTACTCTATGACTCCATTCATAATTACTGGAGGGCAAAGTTGACTTTATTGAAATGAAACCAACATCTTCAATTGTGTTATATTTGATGACTGGGCATTATTACTTGTTTCCAAGTTATTATTATGAGAGAGAGAGAGTGAAGTTGGCATTCTAAGATAAATTTCAATTGTGTCAAGTTTGATGACTGTGGACTACATGTATTTTATAAAAAAGTTACAAGAATTCCTATGAAAGTTACTGTATTAAAGGTACTATGTCCCTTTTGCAGCCAACCTCAAATTCTGTAGAACTTTGCAGGAGTTATGAATATTATAGTTATGAAAAAAGCAATATCTCAGTTTGAACAGGTGTCTGAAAGTACTGTTCGAAAGGTAATACGGGAGAGTCCTTCAAAATCATGTCAACTAGACCCCGTGCCTACCTGGTTGATGAAAGAGTGTTTAGATGAGCTCCTGCCATTCATAACTGAACTTATCAATCTATCCTTGTCGTCCGGAATAGTACCCGCAGCATACAAGAAATCTCACGTGATTCCACTTCTGAAGAAGAAGCAATTGGATCCAGATGAATTCAGGCATTACAGGCCAATCTCCAACTTGATGTTCATTTCAAAGGTCCTTGAGAGGATTGTCACAGCTCAACTTTGTGCATACCTAGAGACGAACGACCTGTTCCCGTGTATGCAGTCTGCGTACAGACAGTTCCATTCAACAGAGACTGCCCTCATCAAAGTCTACAATGATCTGCTACTGGCTGTCGATAGAGGGCTAGAGGCTGTTCTGGTTTTGCTTGATTTCTCGGCTGCTTTTGAAACCATAGATCATGCCAAATTGATGTGTCGTCTGCGTCATGATTATGGATTTGATGGAAAGGTACTGCAGTGGCTTGCTTCTTACCTGGAGGACCGTCATCAAGTTATTGTTGTCAACAGAGTTCCTTCTAAAGCATTCCCACTCCCCTGGGGTGTCCCCCAAGGATCCGTTCTAGGACCTCTGCTCTTTTCACTGTACACGGGTCCGCTCAGTGAGGTCATCCATGCTCATGATGGCGTCATGCATATGATGTATGCCGACGATACGCAACTGTACATAGTGCTCAAGCAAAGTGATGCTTCCAGTTGCATTTCCAAGCTCAGCAGATGCGTCAGTGACGTGAAAAGCTGGTCCTGCGGCAATAATCTTGTGTTCAACGGCACAAAAACAGAAGTTATGCATATAACTTCCATGTTTCGCAATTCCAGTGTGCTACCTGATCTTGACATGGATGGCACAACAATCACTCTTTCCCAATCTGCCAAGGATCTGGGAGTCACGGTGGACAACGTGCTAAATGTGAACCAGCATATACGCAACGTGTGTCGTATCGCAGCTTTCGGGATCCACAAAGTTGGAAAACTGCGAAAATTTCTGGATCAAAGTTCTACTCATCGTCTTGTTAATGCCCTTGTAACTTCCCACCTTGATTACTGTAATGGACTATTAATCAATCTCCCTAGCTCTCATTTAGCCCCTCTTCAACATATTCAGAACACAGCAGCACGCCTCATCACACGTACAAGAAAACATGAACACATCACACCGATCATTCGTTCACTACACTGGCTCCCCCTCCAACAACGTATCAAATTCAAGATTCTCATGCTGACATACAAGGCCTTTCACAAACTTGCTCCCTCATATCTCTCGGCACTCATCACTCCTAAAACTCGTACTTCATCTATGCGTCTCAGATCGTCATCCACAGCACATCTTCATCTTGCCCCAGGCCCTCGCACCCACACCCGCTATGGAAATCGTGCCTTTTCTGTCTGTGCCCCCCAACTTTGGAACAATATTCCCCATGAAATACGCGAGTCCCCAACCTTAGAGACATTCAAAAGTAAACTTAAGACTTATCTGTTTAATATGTAATGTAATGTAATCATATTTTGTTTGTTTAACTATAAAGCTTTATGTAAATATTAACTATTATTATTGTATTATTGTTATTAAGAATTTGTTATTATAATTATGTATCATGTATTATATTCTTGTAATTTGTAAGTTAACATTACTTTAATTTTATTTTTTGTTAAGCGCTTAGAAACTTTGTATTAAGCGCTATATAAATGTAATTTATTATTATTATATGTCATGTTTGTCCTATCTGTGAAATTTAAACGTTAGCAGTGTCCTCATATTCAAATTATGCAAGGAAACCCGTTTACTTGCTAGACCCTACTGTCAGACACTATTGAGTGACTGACTGGCTTTTTTGTTCTTTGGTAATGACATACATGAAAAGAGTTGTAAAGGGTACATGAGCATTTGTCTACATCAATAACCCACTTCTTGTGATGGCCAAGATTAAACTGATTGAATCTTTGCGCAGCATAAAACGTATGACCATTCGGTACAATTGTCTGAAAATCAAGACTATTACTTTTGGGCTCTATAGCCCTAAAGTCGATTTGACAAATAATAGTTGTTATTTTCCCACTTGAAGACATTTTCAAGCCCCACCTTTTTTAGGGAAGTTCTAAATTAGTATTATCTTTCAAATGCAGTTGGAATTTAACTTTTTCATTTTTTGGGCCTGCAAATGGGACATACACTGTAGTACCTTTTAAACCATTTGTTCTAGACTTGTGGCAGATGTATATTGATAATCACATTTATGAAACAAGGCCCAGGGGGGGGGGGGTGTTTCACAAAGATCCTAAGTTGAACTTAACAATTATGGAAAGCTGTTAGTATCTATGAACAAGTTTTGTACAAGTTATTTTAAAAGGCATAAAATGTTGATTCAAATCATTCATATTTTCTATTATCAAGGAGAATCCATGTTCTTGATGTGGAATTAATAAAAAGTCTAAGTACTTGAATTTTCGCTTCTTAATATATTTTTTTTAAAGGCTTCAAATGGCCCCCATAATTTTTAAGTCCAACTTAGAGTTTAGTTTGACTTAGGGTATTTGTCAAACACCCCTGGTCATGCACATCTACACACTGTAATCAAGGATTTGTGTCACTTATTCTCACCTCTCATGTCTAACAAGCTGTTGCCAACTTTGATCTTTCTAGGAGCCAAAGACGGATAAGGATGACGAGCTGTGTAAGAAGGTGAATGATGTGCTCAACAACCCACCTGCCCCTGGCTCCAGTGGCCTTGGAGGAGGGCGGGGCACTGGCGGTCTGCCGGCAGACTTGGGTGGACTGGGGTCTGCTCTGGGTACGTAATTTACTCCCTCACTTAAGTTTGCCATTGAATTCATTTTAGCACTATTTAGGACAGCAAAATATTCTTTAAAAATCTGAATTGAAAGGAAAATTTTAATCTGTTTCTGTTTTAGAATTATGTTTTAAAAGAAAACCAAAGAAGTACAGTTTATTTGCTGATAGACTCAAAACAATAATTTCATTTGCCAATAATAATGTGTGTGAAATCATGCAGTGTAAAATTTAATCTGGGGGGGGGGGGATATTTCAAACCAAATTCAACAATTTAATAGAGCACCTTAAGGGCCCCCCCCCCCCCCCCCCCCCCCCCCCCCCCCCCCCCCCCCCCCAAAAAAAAAAAAAAAAAAAAAAAAAAAAAAAGTCTTTTAATTTTTTTTTTTTTTGTCAGTTGAAATAATTTATGGCACTGAAGAGGTTATGAAAGAATCATTCATATCCCTTAGTAGAAACTGTTCTCTTTTTAAGATTCCTAATAACCTGTATTTCTTTTTCTTCTTGAAGGTGAAGGAGGTTTGCAGTCTATGCTAGGTAACATGGATCAACAGCAGATGATGCAGCTCCTCAGTGGGGGAGGACTAGGGGGACTCAGTAAGTCTTTGGTTGGGCCATGGTTTCAGGTGTGGTGTTCATGTGGATTGTCACCAGTATTCATTAAAGGGATCGTTTAACAATATTAAATCTGAGATGCATGGCCCGTGTTACCAGTGTCTGTGATTTGGTGTAATATTGAAGCCCTAAAAAAGAATCACGCTTCAAAACGATCATTAAAGGTAAAGACCAGTATTGGAAACGCCCCAATTTCATAAAATGAAATGGAAGCTCTCAATCATGTGAAAGAATATGTTTTGACTAATACATGATGATAAAAAAATTGCCGGGAAACCGCCTACTGATTCATATATTTTGTAAATTTGTTTCTCTCATGGTGTGTGAGAGATATAGGGTAGTCCCATATACATCTTTCTGTGTATAGTGCTTGTAACTTTACGAAGAATGGGCCAAATTTTTTATCATTTTGATGATTCCAGAACCTTGCAGATGCTAGATGCTAGATGATCAACCTTTTCTGATCGATTCCACGTTTCTTTCACAATGCAATCGCATGACCATAACTGGTCTTTACCTTTAAGTGCCTCAAAAGAGTAAAAATCTTTGAGTGACCGGTTTCACCATACTCGTTTTCCCCAATACACTGTAATGTTATGAAAACTGTTTGTCAAACGCAAAATTCGGTTTCGATTTCCAATCATAAATATCTTGATAATCAGACAGGCGATCAGCTTGTAAAAGTCAGAGGGTTCCTGATTGGCCTAAAGGTTTATAATTATCATTGCAGCATGAGCTACATGTAAATCCAGGATTTTGTTTCAGAATCTGAGACAAAGATACCTAATCCCTTTAAAGGCTTGTTCAGATATGGCACGGTAAACTGCCGCAAAAAAAAAACTACCACAAACAACTTGCATGTATTTACTGAGCTCTGTCTATTAAAGAAGATACTGAAATGTGAAGCATACTACACTTTACGTCATGATTAAATAAATGCTGCGGTTTTGCCAGGTCATATCTGAACGGGCCTTAAGAAGACAGGATGGAATTTGTAAATCTAACACTTAGGGATCCTTGTGCAATAGTGGTGTTGATTTTAACCAATATCACCAGCAATTTGATATCAGAATTACTATGATTGTAAGGGGAATCCCTGTGTTTTATTACAAGCCACTGGCTTTTTAATGCTCTTTCCCCATGCACTATTTTATTATATCTTATATCCTTGTATTTTATTAAATTAATTAATAAATTGAAAGAATCATGAGAAATTTTAAGTAAAAAAAAATTAAATTTATAAAGTATGTATTTAAATGACAATTTTTTCTTCTCTTCTTCTTCTCCACCTCTTTCTTATTTTTTATTTTATTTGTTTTGTATTAATAGGCCCCCTTGGCTTGCAGAGTATGTTGGGAGGGGCTAGAACTGGAGGTGCGTCAGAGTCAACGTAAGCTTCCATTTCTTATATAAATCTTAATTATTAGTTGAACTCTAATTGAAAGTAGAACCTGATTAAAACTGAGTTATGTTTGTGTTTAAACTTTAGGGAAACCACTTGAGTCCAGCATATTTTAATGTCTTGAAAGTTAACAAGTATAAAGATGTTGTCTACTATCCCATCTACTGGAGGGGGGGGGGGGGGGGGGGGGGCGTTTCACAAAACTTGTCATCAGTGACAAATGACAGTTGTTGTTATAAGCTACTGAAATCCTTGCTTCTGATTGGTTATCAGCAGATTTGTTACTGATTTTTGTCATTTGTCATTGAAAAAAGGCTTTTTGAAACTGACCCCTAGACTTCAGGATTGTCCTAATGGAAATGGAATCAAGTAAATGCAACAAACTCCACAGTAATTCTTGACTTGAATTGTTCTTTTTACTTTCGTTCCGTTGATCACTTTTTTTATGTAAGCGTGATGGTAAACTTGCTGCCACAGCAACCATCACGTCTCACAATGGATAAAACCAAGTTATTGATGTCATCGGTATGTCATGTCACTAGGATAAAACCCCTTTGAGGTGCCATAGTGTAAACTTGATATTGAGGGGTCAGAAACGCAAAGACATAACTCCATTTTGGCCATTTTGAGAAAAAGTGGTTTATGTGTCACTGAGCACTTGAGTCTTAAGGAGTTAAGTCTGTTTTATAAGCTATTGACTTCAATCGGGTTTTGGATGGAGTTAGTCTTTGTGTTTCCTAGAAAGCCCATATGCTGAACATTTTAATATCAAAATATTAATTTTGGCAAAATATGGAGTTACGTCTTTGTGTCACTGAACCCCTCGATATTATCCTTTGATCCTTGTTCACTGCAGACCATCTAGAACCCAGTCCTCTGCTCGCCCTGCTACGTCTTCCAGCAGTAGTGTGACCCCTGCCACCACCCAAAGCTCTACTCCAGCAGCTAGGCCATCTACCACCCCTGCTGCTGTTACTCCTGCTGCTGCTGCTGCTACCCCCACATCTACTGCATCTTCGGCTGCCGCTGCTGCTCCAGGTGCATCTCCGGCCGCAGGGCAGCCGGCCATTCAGCTGAGGGACTTGCAGAGCATCCTCAGCTCCATGAATTGTAAGTGAGATGGTTATTTATCCTCATGTTATTATCATTATCATCATCATCATCATCATCATCGTCCTCCTCATCATCATTATCACAATGATCACTGTCACTTTTATTATCATCATCAGCATCGTCATCAATATCATCGTCATCACCATCACCATGATCACCACCGTCATCACTATCATCATCAGCAGCAGCAGCACCGCCATCACCACCACCATCATAATCATCATCACCATCATCATCTTCATTATCATCACCATAACCTTGACCATCATCATTATCATAATGATCATTGTCACCATCATCGCGTTGTCATTGTGATAATAATCATGATAATCATGATCACAATCATGATCATCATTACCTACCTGATCATCATCATCACCATCCTTATCACAATATCACAATGATCACTGTCACTATCATCATCATCATCATCATCATCATCATCGTCATCACCATCATCACGTTGTCATGATCATCATCATATTCATCATCATATTTATCATCATGTATTCAGCTAGAATGACATAACTTAACCTCCTCATCACCCTTTTGTCTTTTTTGAAGATTTTGTAGGATGTTGCTTTCCATATAACTGGACCATTATGTGATTGTCTACCCATTTACCTATGCAAAATAATACATGTAATGTTCATTTTGATCTCTAAAGGTGATTTTAAGGCTATTGTGAGGGGGTTTAGGGTGTAAATTATATGTAATTCAGTTAGATATCTGTGCAGTGTTAACTCTAACCCATATGAATTCAAATATACTCTTACCATTCTGTCATTTCATTTACAGTGCCAGGAGAAGCAGGAGCTGGACAACCAGGTAAACAAAATATCAATTTCTTTATATATATTTTCTGAATACACATTCATGTTGAGACTTTTGCCTACAAACAGCGGAAGGCTTCAGCAAGACTATACTGCATGAGATGAGCGAGCGGTCATTTGACATTCTCTGTTGCTGTATACATACAGACGGAATCAGAACAGTTGTGAATAGTAAAATAAGGAAATATTTTTTATTATTTTATCCTCCATGTACGTTCTCATTCCTTCAGACTTTTATTCCCCACTTGTAGGCATTTGCCATTGCTTCGCGTTTGACTGAACTTGCCGTAGTTTGTAGGTTAAAGTTTCATCAATCAAATTTAGTTGTTGATTCATAAAGTTAGTTCCAGTTACCTGTTCAAAGTCATATGAAGCTCTTCAAATGTCTCAAATATTTATACTTATAATTATACTTCTGCGATATGTTAGATATTTATTGAGGACCCTTTCTTAACTTGATACATTTTGATAATTTCATGTGTCATGCACAAAATAAATTTAGGATTAAAGTAGCACATGTGATGATAAAAATTCAGTTAGAACTTCATTGAATCTTTGTTTTGACAAGGAAAGACTTCTATGTCCAGTTAACAACTAAATTATGCATACTCTTACCTTTTAATGATTTTTAGTATGTGAACAATTAATTTATCCTGATTTATGTTTCTTGAAACTGTGACTTGTGGAAGCTTACATCTAAAAGCTTACATCTAAAAGCTTACATCTATTCAACAAAGACCCTGATTTAACCAGTCAACCCTTCATTCTTGAGTTTCAAAAAACACATATGACATCAAATTTACAAAGGGTATGAATAATTAGATGTAAACCTGTATATACTATACTAAATGGATTACAGCGTACTTTGTCCAATTCATTAATAATAATACATTACAGTAGAGGTGTCGTGGTCGAGTGGATATGTCAGCGGACTGTGGATCACAAGGTCCGCGGTTCAAGTCCCACCGCGGCACTAATGTCCTTTGGCAAGACATTGATCTACATTTGCCACTCTCCACCCAGGTGTTAAATGGGTACCCGGTAGGATGCGAAAGCTAATGTGGTTTGATTAGCAATGGCGCTTATAAAATGGCGACTGGCTGGAATGCTCCCCAGGGAGTGGAGAATGTGCATACCTTGTGTGTGGTTAAGCATGAATCCGATGACCGGGCTAATAATATATATCTGTAAAGCGCATTGAGAGGGCCTGCGGTCCTGAAATGCGCTATATAAGGACAAACTATTATTATTATTATTTATTAAGTTGCAATTATCATCTTGTTTTGTTGCAGCTGTTGACCTGAGCCAGCTGATGACCTCAGATGCCATGACCCCGATTCTAGCCAATCAGGAGATTCAAAAGAAGTTGATTCCATTCTTACCAGAGGGGGAGTCGCTACCCAAGGATCCTGAGCAGCTACGAGCAACTCTCCAGTCCCCTCAGTTCCAACAGGTTAGAAAATCGGTTCAACTCTTTCTTTTTTCCTTTTTAAAGAACTTTTTCAAACACTTTGTGTCATATCAAACATTGCTCAATGAAACAAGGGCAAATGCTAAAGTAAATACTGCTTGGAGCCAAGATGTACGAATTATCGCGTTGCTAAAAGAACAAAATGGGAGTAAGTACTGCTACAAAATCTACCAAACTCATATCTCTCCGTCTCCCCCTTAAATGTTATGTCTCTCCTTCCTCTCTCTCTCTCTCTCTTCCTCTCTCTGTTTCTCTTTTTTCTTCTCTCTCTTGTAGATGCATATATAAATAAATACAATTTTTTTCTTCCTAGCCCACATGCAGTACATTAGATGAATAGAAATAAGGAAATGATATTCATTTTATACTTGTTTATGATCTTATTAGCATAGTACATAGATAGAAAATATCACAATGAAGTTTAACAAATAGGGCAGTATTTCACAAAAACACCATAAATTCAAGTGCATCGACATCCCATTGAAACCTATTATTGTATCTACCACATATTTCAATGGGATGTTGATGAACGTGTTATAATGACTGTGTCGAGCTTGTCATGTATTAATCAAAGTGAAAAACAGATAACTGTCTTGTTCACACTTCTTAGTACATTGTCTGAACATTATGAAAAAACGTTTTCTCTGTTCTATTCCATGCAGGCGTTGGGTATGTTTACAGCAGCGTTCCAGTCTGGTCAGTTGGGTCCTCTCATGGCACAGTTTGGTCTCAGCTCAGAAGCAACAGATGCTGCTAACAGTGGAGGTAAACACTGACTTATTATTGTGAAATTCAGACAGTTGAAGAAAAAAAGTAAAGCAACGACAACTTTCAGATGCTTGTACATTAGCAACAATAGTAATTTTTTTAATTTTTTGTTGTTGATTTTTGTTGTTCTTTACTGTAGTGCTCTTCCAGTCAAAAGCAACTGATCAAAACATTTCCAATTAGTGTATAGGGTCATTAAGATTTCTGTGCCTGCAATGCACACCCTTACAGACACGCTGTCAATTTCTTTTAGGTCTGTAGATACAATGTAAGCATTCTGTCTGTGTATGCACATATAGAAGATAGGTCCCTGGTAGGGGAAAAGAGTTACGCTACAGCTAAAAATTGTGTGTTTGGAGCCAGAAGGGCGTTTCCTCATGTACTTTTATACAGAATCATCACACTTATGGCTCCAAACAGGCGATATGGTCTGATGTAACTGTAACATTTACTGTAACATTTAGGTTACGTTACCCTATAACATTTTCAAAATAATGACTTGATGATACAATTGATGGCGATTATGAGGCTACCATCTTGCAATGCACATTAAAGTTTATTGAACTGTATATTTCAAAATGACTTTTTCCTTCTAGTGGGTGATATGTATATCTGAATGGCTAAAATAAAACAGATGCTCACCATTAGGCCTTAAAAAAAAAAAGGATGTTGTATTGCCCTTTAGGTGCCAAAACATGGGTCGGTTGGTCACAAATCTTTTTTTTAAACTTTTTTTTCTTCTGTATTTTCTCCCTCTTTAGGCTTATATTTCTCAGTTTTGAATGCTTAAATATTTTTCTTCTTTAAAAAAAGGTTATTTTTTATATTTTTTATCAAAGCCGATCGTAGATTTCAAGATTTTGGGGTCGGTTGCAAAGGGCAATACAACATCTTTTTTTTTAGGCCTTATCATGCTAGCATTTTGCTTTTAATGATTTATTTCAAGAAATATCAATGACTTCACCACCCCTTACAATCACTTGTTAATCCAAATTTATTTCTATATCGTTCTGTTTGTTTCCTGGCAGACATTGAGTCTTTCAGCAGGGCCCTACAAGGTGGTTCAAGCTCCAAGGACGACAAGAAAGACGACAAGAAAGACGGAGACGATGAAGCCATGAATGTCGACTAGATTCCACGTCTCATTGTCTTATCAAATTAAGTCGTAGTGAATTGTACTGAAACAGTCAGTAGTAAGAGCTTATATAGAAAAGAACACCCATATAGCATTGCATACATTTTCCTTTGATGTGCATGATTGTACTTCTTCCTGGTTAGTGACCCCAATCTAACATCCAGAATATTTTCTATCACTTTGTAGGCATATTAACCTCGGACATAGAATTGATTTATTCCAACACAATTATGTTGTGGAAAAATAGAACAAAATACATGTAATGAATAGGTATGTCATGACTTCTCCTGTCTTATGTCCCTCCTATGAGTCTGTTTCACTTCTTGATGGGGCATGATTGCACCCTCTCGTTTGTAACTTTTGTCAAATGTGATCCAACAGATCCCGCGAGTTTTCAGGAATTTTCAGAACAATATCAAATGACTTCAAGGGGAAAATATATAAATTTGCTAAATACTTACTGTGAAAGAATGTTTTTCAAAGATACAGGAAGCTCATCTGGTTGAAAGTCTGTTTGAAGACAGAAGGATGTTCACTCCTATACTTACCATGGAGTTAATGCCCTTCTGGCTCCGAAAAGGCAATATAATATTGTCATTTTGGAATCAGAATGGTGTCAACTCCTATACTTAAAGATAAAGTTGAAATATGGTCATGCGATTGCATTGTGAAAGAAACGGTGTGGAATCGATCAGAAAATGTTGATCATCTAGCATAGAAGTATTGTGTGTACTGCAAGGTTCTGGAGTCATCAGAAGGATAAGAAATTTGGCCCAGTCTTGGTAAAATAACAAGCACTGTACACATAAAGATGTATATGGGACTACACAAACATGTGGCATAAAAAAAAAATCGGGCCTCATTTTTAAGCTGTTGTTATATTTAGAATACAAAGGCATTTGAAGGGCCATGCTTTTCAGGGAACCTTTTTTCTATGATGCTCTTCCACACTTGCATAATAACAACGTTAATGCTCACAAATTATTCCTTACCTCTCCCCAGAACTCAACCTTCTCTTTAAACACAGCATTAATGCTTTCTGGCTCCAAACAGACAATATATATTTCAAGCCTGCTCATGACCCATTGTTACACAAAAGGAATTAGAATATACCCTTTTAAAACCACCCGATATTGCAGGAATATGGGCCAGTTTCGATTTCAATTCTTTGTAAAATTCATTGTTCATTGTCCGCCGATTTAATGATGTGCATACAAGGTTTCATGTTTTGTTTAAATTAAACTTCCTTGATGCTGATACACGTATTTCTTTATGTTGCATGCAAAGCACCTATCCTGAAGGAAGCATCTTGAAGCTTATGGCATTTTCACAATAGAAAAACATCCACGGATTTGGTTAAAATTGAGTTTAATCGCTGATACTTCCAAGATATCAATCCTTGTTATTTTCTCTATCATGAGGGAATTAACGATTGTTTTACTACTATTGTCAAAAATCAATTGGTAAATCTCTCACTTACAAAATATTGATAAATATTGGTAGCATTCAATGTAAAATTAGAACGTTATGTTGTATGCGTCACATTAAATGTTGATTATTGTGTATAAGGCAGAATTCAACTAGAATGGTTGGGATTGTTTTGTTCGTTCTGTTGAAGAGAGAGAGAGAGAAAGAGAGAAAAGAAAGAGAGAATGAGAAGAAGAAGAAGTAAGAGAAAATTAGTAGTAGAAGAGAGAGAGAGAGAAAGAGAGAAGGAGAGGAAGAAATACAAATGGAGGTGTAAAAGAGAGAGAGAGAGAGAGAGAGAGAAAGAAAGAACGTGAATTTAATCTTATACAAATCCTATATCCAAAATCTTTTATACAAAAGCTCATGTCAATATTGTTTACAAATCGTGCTCGCACAAGGTACGTTTCTTGCTATAGGTACCATACTCTTATGGAATAGGAGCACATCCCGGATAGAGAATGGAATTGATATCTTCCCTCTGGGTATGTTGGAGAATAGTAGTGGAGTGATAAGGGGCCTAGGAGGAAACTATCTGGGTCTATTGGGGTGATGCAGGGGTATGGAAACCCCAAACGTCGGAGAATCGCGGAGTTCAAATATTTTAAATGATTTTACGTGGCTACCGTTGGTTCAGTAGTGACTGTGTGCTGGATGTAGTGGCTAAACTGATGATTATATTGAATCATGGTTTACATGTAGGCCTACTCATGGTCAATGCGGAATTCAACAATGAACTCATTGACAGAATACATAATATACATAATACATGTACCTATATTGTCACGTCTGTCGCTTTTTTCAGGTAGTTTTAATGGACGAACTTTGACAAACACAAACGATATTAGAAACTATATTAATTGAAATTTTTACGAGTGATCAAAATTCAGGTCTCCATACCTAGTATAAATTCCATTTTATCAATCAACATTCATCATAAGTCAATTTCGAAATTCATTTGATGTGGTATTATGAATGTCATTATTTTTGTTATCAATATTACTATCATTCTTGAATTGGTTTGATTTATTGTAAAAACATATCAAACAATTAAGCAGTCGCAGGCTGAAATTGTTTAATTTTCAAACAAATTTAGAATATAGAGAAATATACACATAAAAACTGAAATACAAATTGTGAGTAAACTTTTGCAGAAATTATATAACATTGGTATAAAGATGAAATCAAAGTTGCAAAACAAGGTTATTTGTTTAATGTAGTAATAGGGGAATACATTATCATCATCACCCTCCTGCTCCTCCTCCTCCTCCTCCTCATTATCATAATCATTGTTATTGTTTTGTTATTGGTGATATATCATCACCATCATACATAAACACTAGATAGTAAATCAAACGCAATATAAATATCAAAACAAAACCTTTGAGATGAAAAGAAGTTCATAAACTGCATTTGCACATGTAATCGTCGATGCGTGCTCTTAATCGGTTCTAGGACAATTACCCCCCGTAAAATTAACCCCCGGAGAATTACCCCCCGAGGACAATTACCCCCCCCCCCCCCAAGGACAATTACCCCCCGGAAAATTACCCCCCGAGGACAATTACCCCCCAAGGATAATTACCCCCCCCCCGGAAAACTACCCCCTGGAAAATTACCCCCCGAGGACAATTACCCCCCGAGGACAACTACCCCCGAGGACAATTACCCCCCGGAAAACTACCCCTTGAGGAATTACCCCACGAGGCCTACCCGCCCCCGAGGACAATTGCCCCCCTCCCCCGGGGACAATCAGGATTCAATAGCAAAAGACGATCTGACACGTTGAGAGATGCTGTGAAGGCTACGAGCCCATAAAATCCCGTGCATGAACCCACATTCGTCCAAATACTTGCGCGTGATCTTCCTCATTACTACACATTTTTCTTTAACTATAATCTATGCAACAACACTATGGTTGCTGTTTTCTACGAAGGATTTCTCTTGTGCAGCGTTATTTCAACTTTTTGTTCGACACGATGCCCTCTTAAGAAATGAAAAGTTTCGCCCAATCTTAAATTCTTCACAAACTATTTATTTTGCATCACTCTGGCACTCGTCAAGTGCTATGTACACACGTATGGGCACATTTGTTTCTTGATTTAGTGAACGAGCAAGAAAAACAAGGACAAGACATTTTCAAAATGGTAAAACATAATGTTGTAATCAACACACTAGCACAGATTTAAGGTTATGCGGGCGCCTCACCGCCGAATGTACACGAATATAAAGTGAAATATTCGGTCATGACCTTGATACACGAATATGAGGATATTCGGGCCTCTCGTTGCCTTGATTCATCATGTTTATAATTGTGATGAGTGTGGTAACAATGTAATGTCGAAATAAAAGATATATATTCGCAAAATATTGTCAGCGAGCGAGGAAGAAAGACATTTTATTATTTGTTTACATTTTATTTTCTCATGAAAATAAATACTCTACCCGTTTCTGATATTTGTTTTTCACAAAATCAACGTTTGCCAAAAAAAAATTGTCATGTAACTAACATTCTCTTGCGGCACCCCAGTTGAAAAAACGCTGCTCTGGAATTACAAAATCATTGAGATGAATGTACCCAAGTGCGGATACTTATTTTCTTTTAATATGGCACCGTACATACCATATAAAATTATTTAACTTGAAGGCAATTTTTATTTCAAAATAAATTACAGTACAAGAAAACATATTTTAGTTCACCATGACAACAGAAATATATATATATTATTTTACATTACATTTATAAACATGAAGAGAACCTTAATTTTGGAATAGATCATGGATGAGGGCCCATTATACATACAAAGACAAATATACGATCAGCTGATTAGAAAAGTTACAGAGGATGCATAAATAATGATATCTTACATCCTAATTTCTTTGTTGGGCCATTTTTGGGGAGACTAGCTGTATTAACGCGTACTCATCTGCGCGCAATGTATTGTTAAATTTCTAAGAAATGTATTATATTTAAACGTCTTTGGTAAATTCCGTACTTTGATTTGATACATGCGTCTTCTGGCAATTGAATTTGATTCAATACACGTGGCATATTAAGTCAAACTTCACAAAGGTGGAATACAGAGCGAGCGGGGTGGGTGAAATCTCTTCCTAGGAGGATACATGTACGTCAAGCAAAAAGATTTGGCAGATGGGTACGAGGGCTTTGAATGTGAGCTACGAATATAAATATAATTTATACACAACCCCTGTACGAAACAAATCTATTCCGTCATAAATAACTAAGAAAATGAAAGTTCATGACATTTTCTCTAAATAGCAATTTGAAGAGGAGCTCACATTATACGTCACAGTGTTACAAATTCCCTGGGTGTGATTGTCTTCGGGCCGCGGTAATGGTGTTTCGAGGGGGGGGGGGGGGGGGGGGGTAATTGTCCTCGGGGGTAGTTGTCCTCGGGGGTAATTGTCCTCGGGGGGTAATTGTCCTCGGGGGGTAATTGTCCTCGGGGGTAGTTGTCCTCGGGGGGTAATTCTCCGGGGGGTAATTTTCCGGGGGGTTATTGTCCTTGGGGGGTAATTGTCCTCGGGGGGTAATTCTCCGGGGGGGGGGGGGTAATTTTCCGGGGGGTAATTGTCCTTGGGGGGGGGGG